AAGCTGAGCCCCGCCCTGTCCCCAGATCAAGTATGGCGACAACACTACCTCAGAGGGCGTCCTCTTTGCCACCTACTCCGCCCTGATTGGAGAGAGCCAGGCGGGCGGCCAGCACCGCACGCGCCTGCGACAGATCCTGGACTGGTGTGGGGAGGCATTCGAGGGCGTGGTATCCCGCGATGCTGGCGGGGCCGGGCCGGAGAGGGATGGGGCAGAGGGGCGGGTGAGGGGGCAGTCAGGCTACAGGAGCAGACCTTGGTCGCCCAGGTGCCACACTCCCGTTACGGGAGCTCTCTGGTCCCAGAGGCTCACCCTGAGGACCCCAGCCACATGTGACCGCCGTCTCTGCCTCTGTGGCCTGGCTTAGCCTCCTGGTTCTAGCAGCGATGGCCCCGTCCCCAAGGCAGGACGGTGGCCGCCGCCCAGAGTCCGTCCCTCGCCCATGCCCAGGTTCCCTGGGCCGTGGAGCAGGAGGAACCTCCATCCCAGAGACCTGGCGCACAGTCGGCACCAAAGACTGGTGTCGACCCCACTGTGGCAGGAGGCCCCAGTCAGAAATGTTTTTTAAAGTCTTTTCCTCATTATTTTGTTGTTGTTTTTGGGTTGGGGTCTCTGTCACACAGGCTAGAGTGTAGTAGCACAATTGCGGCCCACCACAGCCTCACCCTCCTCAGCTCAGGTGATCCTCCTACCTCAGCCTCCTGAGTATCTGGGATTACAAGTTCCACTATGCCCGCCTGATTTTTTTTGTTTGTTTTGTAGAGAGGAGGTCTTGCCATGTTACTCAGGCTGGTGGTCCTGAACTCCTGGGCTCAAGCGATCCTCCCACCTCAGCCTCACAAAGTGCTGGGATGACAGGTGTGAGCTCCCGCACCCAGCCCTCAACAGTGTTTCAACATGGGCCACTGCAGAGTCACGTGTAGAACAAGATTACAACAGGCCGGGTGTGGTGGCTTACACCTATCATCCCAGCACTTTGGGAGGCAGAGGCGAGAGGATTGCCTGAATCCAGGGATTCAAGACCAACCTGGGCAACTTGGCAAGACCTCGTCTCTACAATAAATCAAAAAATTAGCCAAGTGTGGTGGCGCACACCTGTGGTTCCAGCTACTCGGAAAGCTGAGCTGGAAAGATCACCTGAGCCCAGCAGGTCGCATCAGTGTTGGCTGTGAATGTGCCACTGCACTCCAGCCTGGGTGACAGAGTGAGACTCCTACTCAAAAAAAAAAAGATTAAAACAGAGGGTCCCGGGCATCCAACGGCAGCTCTGCACAACCTAGAACAGTCATAGTGGGATGTCCAGGTGGGGACAGTTCTGCCGCTTTCCACAGGCCCCATCCCTGTGTCCACTGGCATGCGCATCTGTGTCAGCCACCCTAGGCTCCGCCCCTGCACAACTTTCGGGAGTCCCCACACTCCAGGGCTGCCCCCATCCTTCCGGAACCCTCCTTAACCCACGCCATCCCAGATCGTGTTTGACGAGTGCCACAAAGCCAAGAATGCCAGCTCCACCAAGATGGGCAAAGCCGTGCTGGACCTGCAGAGCAAGCTGCCCCTGGCCCGGGTGGTCTATGCCAGCGCTACAGGTGGGGGCCTGGCGGGTGTCGGTTGCGGGCGGCTGGGCAGGCAGGCAGGGCATGCCCGGCCTTGGGCCTACACCCGCTTCTTCCGGGACCAGGCCCCGCCAGCCACCCACTGTCCCTCAGTGGCGTCCCCAGCCTGGCAGCGTGGCTGAGAGCATCAGGCCTCCCCTGGCCTGGCTCAGCCTGGTCGGGCAGCTGACGGCAGGTCCCTCCCAGGTGCCTCCGAGCCCCGGAATATGATCTACATGAGCCGGCTGGGCATCTGGGGAGAGGGCACGCCCTTCCGGACCTTTGAGGAGTTCCTACATGCCATCGAGAAGAGGTGCGCACCCCCCGCGGTGGGTGAGGGGCCCTGCCCGCCCCCAGGGCCTGGTACAGGGGAGTTGAGGCTGGGTGCGGTGGCTCACACCCACAATCCCAG